ATTCACTCTAACCCTTTGGTTACTTGGCTTTTTCTCGTCACTTGTGTGTCACAGAAAATCATGTTTGCCGATCTTTTTTCCTTAATTATAGGAGGTTAAACAATTTGTGGAGAATTCTCAAAAATCCACCGACGATATATTCGAGTAAATTTTCGTCACTTTCTTCTATGATTCTTCTCTCTTTTTTATTTTCTATTTTTTGTGAAAAGTTGAGAAATTTTTGAAAATAATTTGCGGAGAATTCGAGTAAATTTTGGTCTCTTTATTCTATGATTCTTCTCTCTTTTTTATTTTCTATGTTTTGTGAAAAGTTGAGAAATTTTTGAAAATAATTTGCGGAGAATTCGAGTAAATTTTCGTCACTTTCTTCTATGATTCTTCTCTCTTTTTTATTTTCTATTGTTTGTGAAAAGTTGTGAGAAATTTTTGAAAATAATTTGCGGAGAATTCGAGTAAATTTTGGTCTCTTTATTCTATGATTCTTCTCTCGTTTTTATTTTCTATTTTTCTATTTTCAAAAATAATTTGCAGAGAATTCTGGAAAATCCACCGAGATATAAGCTCCAGTAAAATTTGACGCTTCTCTTTCTTCTATTTCATTCTTCGTGAAAGATCACGGAAGATTTATTGGTGAAATGTTAAAAAACAATTTGCGGAGAATTCTCGAAAATCCACGGAGATAAATTGGAGTAGTTTTCGGCCTCTTTTATTCTCTCCGATTCTTCGAAATCTCGTCAATGAAGCGTGTCGCTTAATTAATGAATACCCACGGCTAAGTAGGAGCTTCATGTAAAAGTAGAATTTAAGCGTCTGAGGATAGTCTTGTGCCGACACACAAAGTGTCTGTTGTACCTCGTTCCTTTTCTTTCATTTTTTTCTTCTTTCTTTCTCCTCTCTTCTCGCCGTCGTTTCGATGAGAGAGGACCACTGTGCACTTCCTTCACACCCGTTAGACCGAGGGGAGTATATAAAGACATCCGCCGGTCGGCAGTGGCCGAGGCAGAAAACCGTGGCCCTTCTTGAAAATAATTTGAATAATTACCGGCCCGGCTTTTTCATCGGGGATGCTAAACAGCTGTTGTCTACGCTTCTCCTCTCGTGAAGCTTCCGCGAGACGAGAGACAATGCAGGGGCTCCTTAATTTTCTTAAAAGACCACTGGAGCACCTCCTCGTTCCCCTTTCCACTCCAGATTAGAATGACAATGCGAAATTCCTTTTTATCGACCGATCCGGATCGCGAATTTATAGCGTCACGATTTGCGAAATTTCACGTGAATACGTACAAGACCGATGAAATTCATTATTTTCTTGTTTAAGCAAAGCTGAACGGACGTTACGAAATTGTTAAATTAGCTAGGCATCTTGTGTGCTAGTAATTCGTGCATTAAGTTCTGTTTCTGAATTTCGTTACTAATTTTTGCCTCGAATAATCGAATAAATTTAATGAAATTGAGTAATTAACTTTGGAACGATGATATATTCAAGGAGTGATTACTTTAAACGGAATTACTATAGTATGTAGCAAGTAAATTATAGTAATGTTAGGAAGTTCCGGTGTGGAGCTAAGTCGGGGGGTCGGTAGTGTCGAGTCTTGCTCGATAATCAAGTAAAGCTTCACTCGTCGCGATCAACTTTAGGATGGGTGACCGCCGGAGAAAAAAAGTTGGATTCATTACTTTCTTCCCTTGATTCTGTAATAGTCTAATGGGTTGTTCTATGATGAGTTAATTCTTCATTAATTTACAATATTCTACGAGATTTTAAATATATTAACCACAAAAAAAATTATTAAATTAGTGAGGCATCCTACATACTAATGAGAGATGGGTGCGCTCTCTCCCTCTCTCTGTTCAAATATTCTGTAGTAACCTGTGTACCAGTAACAAGAAAAATTGAGGATTAAAAAAAATTCAAAGTTGGTCAGAAATTAGGAGAAAAGAGGAAAAATCATTTAGCCAGTCGTTCGTTAATCCTTCGTCAGACGTAACCGGAATTTAGGATCGAGGGAGAGAGGGTGGTAATATCCAAAGACACGTCCTATGGTGTCCTGTGAAGCACGTACGACTTCTATTAACGACAGGACACCCCCCGTTTGGCAAAACACACAGTGGGGCTGACTGGAGGCAGCGCCGAGTAATAATTCGTCGGGTGAATTAGCGCCATAAGTTTGCCGCCGCGACAGTCGCGGGGATAATATTAATCTACTTTGAATTTATACACCGTGCGGTCTTCCGCCGCGTAACTTCCTTCGTATTAAGTCTTACCGCGGCCCTTCCGCTCTCTTTCACTTCCGAACTTTCGTCTTTCCATCGTGGACCTTTAAATCATCTGCAACTCTCGTGCTTCATAGGACGATTCTGTCTGTAACGAAAGTGTCTATAGAATAGCTGAATTAAAAATTATTTTATCTGCAAGGTATGTTGTAAATTAAAATTTTTTTTATTGTAGTTTAAGGAAGTTTAGAAATTCTTTTCAAAGGTTCCATTCTTTTCAGAGGATATATGTAAATGTAACTTTCAGCTTCTTTCTTCAATTTTTGGAAGGTAAAAATCTTATTACGGAGGTGTTATTCTCCCCCACTCCTTGGGAAAAAATTCCCTCTTGTCAACCGAATCAGGTCGGTGTACCCCCTTAAAGATTGTCAAATATTCGACGACGATCGTTCAAAAAAAGAAAAACAATAATCTGTCCTTAGATTTATCCTGATCTTTTAAAACAAGCAGAAGATTAGAGGGAATTAATTTAACTCTCGAACGAGTATCTCATAATACAGGGAGCATCGGGTTTATTTACTCTGTGCCGCGTATTAAGACGCGGTCAGATGGAAGGGGTAAGATTCACCCCTTTCGGTGTAGACAGATAAATAACTCGAGACAGCCTGGGAATAACTTAAGACACGCATTCTTGACGAGAACCTTAGCTTCGCGGCAAAATTCCTCCAGCGTCGGTCCCGTCAAAAATCGAAACCACGATTTTCATACCAATCTCCCCGAGAAAAAAAAAAAACATCGTTAAATCTCGCGGATGTTTCTATCAAATTCTTCACTCCCGCCACGTGGGCTGATAAGGTGTCGAGAGGGGAGCAAGTTGCTCGTGACAAAAAGCTTTGGTCCACGTTAACGCGGTTAAATGACGTTCGACGCCTCGCATGCATTATGCACCGGCGGTGCAGTCCACGTTGCTGCTGCTGCTGCTGCACCACTTACAACCAAGCATCCTCGCGTTTCTCCGTGGAAAAAAATTTATGTTAAGCTGTGCAACCGCGAGTCTTCGCTCCGCTGTCGAGGATTAAGACATTCCCGGGCTAATAATTTTCATCCTCTGCCCGAAAATGTTTTGTCCATTCGTGAGTTCGCTTTTCTTTCTTCTCTCTTGCCGATTAACCCTTTCCTTCAAGATATTCAAACAGAGCGACTAAGTGAAGGAGTTAATTTTCATTCTACGAGTTCTTTTTTGGTTGGTTTGAATTTTTTTCGTAGGATAGGGTTCATAGGAGATCGCTGAATTTTAGAAGCGTGGAGGGATTTTCCTATGGACAATAGGTGTCAGTCGAGAGGAAGAACGCGCCCGAAGGTGCTCGGCTCTCGAGCCAGCTCTACAATTATGAGCCATACCACGTCGGGGCGAGCCTCATAACGAACTCACTATATTGCCCGAGCATTTCAAAACTGGCCCCGCGTAGACGCTCTTTACCTGCCCCACCGTTCCCGTTCCTCGAGTTCCCATCTAGAGCGAGTCCGCCGTTAGGCCTGAGAGAATAATGTTTCGGAGATGAAAGAAAGAAACATTCGGGGAACTTCTCTCGCGGTGCACCGTGCATTCCTCGTGCTGGTCACCTCGATCCCCTCGATCCTCCACGGTTTCTGCCAAAGTCGTAACCCTTTCGATCGTGATCCATCGCGATCGGAAATTCAATTTTTCGATGGTGTAGATTTCTTCTCGTGAGAAATTTTAAAATATATAATTGTGATCCGTCAGGATCAAAGGCGCAATTTTCCTTGATCTCTCGATGTTTTCTTACTCGCGAGATATTTGAAAATTTACAGAGGTTGAGTGTTATCTTTGAACCCTTTCGATTGTGATGCATCGCGACCAGAGACTCTCAAAGATTTCCTCGTGAAATATTTCCAAGTGCACAGAGATCGAGTATAATTTCTTGAAACGATCAGAGAGACACTCTGTTTGCTCGTGGTCATTGAGCAGCGGTTCGATAACGCGGCCTAAGCGTGAATCTCTGGGATTCGTGTTCTCTCGAAAATAAATCATATTGCAGAAGATGCCACGGCCAGCAGGAAACAGCGACCAGATGTGGCGTCTTGGTACGCGAGACATGTGTGTCCAGGCCATCGGATGACACTTGCTATATTTAGTTCTGTGGGAATAAGGGGTTCCAGAAGACATAATTACACCTACGCCAGTGTTGCTCGCTCTTCCCTCCAAAAGACCCGCACATGATTCATAATAACACCGATCGATCCAACATTGACACTAATATCTCCTGTGTAATCCTTTTTCGCGATCTTAACCGATCTATTTTCTTCATAAAAAAAAAAACAGACAGCGTATTTATTTTTTCAATATTACCAAACAATAAACAAAGGAAAGTTACCGTGGAATAAATAAATATTTGCCAGTGGCTCGGAAGCTTCAGCGACAGTTTCCCGGGCGAAATGGGCGGATCGAGATCCACGTGGCCCGTGTTCCATGTGTAATACCCGAAGATCCCACGTGTGATCCACGAAGACGCGTGGGAAGGCGGTCGTATGAACGTCGCCAGCTGTTCACACGTGTCCTTTATGTGCATTACTAAAATCCACCGCCCTTCTTCCGCCGTCTCTCCTTTCCCTCTGTCCAGAGTTTGTCCCGTTGAATTATCGTGAGATCATATCGTCTACGTCTCGTAGACCGGTCTTCTGAGGATACGATATTATAAATCTGAATGATTCACAGGAGAATCATATGTTTGCCTTGACGGAGGAAAAAATTTGTTTGATTTCAGATTGACGCGCCCATAGAGAACGAGGCGGATGTCACGTCAGATGTGAACAACCCCGAGTCAACCTCCCCGGAAAAGGGTTTCAAGGGTGAGTGAAAATTCTGTACAATTCCACCTTCGTTCTACATTCACGACACTCGATTTTCTTTTACATTCTCACTATTCTGTAAAACTATTCTATCCACGTTTAACTGAACACCGAAGGGGTTAGAATCGGACACAGAAGAATTCCGAGGAGAAGAATCTTTGTTAACCTTTCGCGGTCCAAATAGTCCACTTAATTCGCACTCATTTTCCTCAAATTTTTTCAATATTTCAACGCAGTATTGGTTATAAAATACTAAGTTTCGTTATAATATTAACGCATAAAAAAATGATTTATTATCGTTTATCATTGTATGATATCTGAAGGCAAAAATTCTTACGTCATGCCCGTCTCGACATAGGACCGCAAAGACACTACTCTGCACGCAAGCAAACTACAAAAAAAAATTCTTAAAAAATCAATTTCCGACCGGTCGAAAATTCGACGTCCGAGTGATCTCGTTCTGGAGAGTGTGTAAATCGTAAACGGTGTTTCGAAACGAATCGGAAGTCGTGGGATCAAGTGGCTGGCAGGAAGGGTCGAATTAAGTCGGTCGCGTTCAGACGAAACCAATCCACTTAACTCCCAACCCCCTTAAGCCCGTCCCACCCCTCGCAAGAAAGGTCCTCGAGGTTTTGTTCTCGAACAAAAATCTGACAAATATGCCGCGATTTGCCGAAGAATGGAGGCGAAGTACAGTCAGCCACCCCTCTCAGTAGTCGAAGGTTTCTCTGCCTGTCCGACCAACCCCTGCACCACCTTCCATCTCTCTCTCTCTCTTTCTCTTTCTGTGTCGTTCGCCCCGTGGCTGGAGAGGGTGACGAGCAAAGGGTGACTCTTAAATTACTTAGACCGAACAAAACGTAACAAATGACGGTGAATCGGGCCACTTATGCGATATTGGCCCATCACCGGCACCCACGTATATTGATACGTCGCATTAGGGCTGCCAGACACCTCTACCCACCCTCTTTCTCCGATGTCTTCCTCGTTCTCCGCTGATCTCTGCGTTCCTTTCCTCGGTTTTTGATGGGACCTCCTTGCGTTTTCTCCTTGGTTCATCCACTCCTTCGTTTTTCGTTTCGTCTCGTTGGTTGTTAACTATATGTCGGTTTCTTCGAAGTAGGATATTTTGATTGAATTAATAAAGTGTGTTTGAAATTTTCTTCGTAAGAGTGAAAGTATTTTCTAGGAGTACACTTGAAACGTTCCCTGTCCCTTTCCAGGACTTGCTCGAGGTTATTAATGGTTCTCGCGAACTCGGTTCATTAAGGAGCTCACGAAACTCCGCGGCACATTCAGAAGGAGAAGCCACCCCCTTTGGCGGGGTGCAACGTGTCAGAAACTGTAGTACTCGCGTTCGAAATTAGCAACGTATATTATTTTCCTACGTCGGCGGTACAATTTTCCTCTCGAGCTTGTCGAATCCCCGGAAATACTCCTTTAACATTAAAAAAAAGACAGGTATCACGCCTTGAAAAGAATTCACTGCTTTTTTAACCAAAGTTCGAATATTCTTTCAGTATTAAAAAAACACGACATATCCGGCGTTGAAAACAATTTTCCGCCAAAACTCGATCTTCGCTTAGAAAAAAAGATAGTGAGACACAGCTCGAGATTGTCAGGTAATTACGAGGAGCTTACACGACGATAAAAATGCAAAGGGTTGGCGTAGAAACGCCCAAAACGAAAGGGTTAGCCTTTCGAGCCCTGTGAAGGCGTCGTCCTATCAATTTTCCCCCACCTTTCTCCTGCTACTCCAGTAGGTTTTTGCCAGCCGCTAGAATTACACGCGCTATTATCGCAAAAAAGCACGGCGCAGATAAGAAGCCGGGATTCGCGGCGCGAGCAATCCACCGGTCGCGGAAAGCGAGAGATGAAGACATTATCGTGATCGTTGGCCGCGTGTTTAAGCGTCGCAAGAACGCAAAAGAAGACGCTCTGGCAGAGAGAGAGAGAGAGAGAGAGATGCACCTGTCGAGCAGAGGTGCACTAACAAGGAACATGTGACCCACGGTGAGGCGGAATCGACGCGAGTTTCTTGAAAAATATGCCGGAGAACTCCACCTCGAGCGATGTCCACTGGTTGGTGGCTTTCTCTCGAAAAATTCCTGGAAAAACGTCGTCCCTCTGCATACATAGGAATAAACGCAGCTGTAATTGCCAATTAACCGCGGTAACATTTGTAGAGTTTCAATTTTACCCACGGAATTATTCTCCATTATATTCTGCGGTAATCTTCGGGTTAGGTAATTCGCGGCTTCCTAGTCGAATTCGTTCGAAATTCCAACTCTTCAATTTGTCGTACGTTCTAATTATTAGAAGCTCTGCTTCACTCGGAGCCAAATATTTTTCGCGTAGAATTCACTTGAGAAAAACGCGGGAAAATTTGCACTCTAATTTTAACGTGAAGTAATTAGCGAAATGTTTGTCATAATTAATGTCAAAAGTTACTATTTATCAGTTGAAGAGAAAAATGTTGCAATTGTTAGATTTGTCAAATTTGATCGTTTAAACTGTTTCACCGAGATTTCAATCGTCCCTCCAATTACCACCAATTGCACCGTGGATTATGTGCTCGGCGCGAGAGAGAAACTTTTTCCCGTCGTTTCGCTGTTCGCCACGCAGCTCGGGGATCATTCTAGGCCAAAAGGAGAGATAATGCAATAATAAGTATAAGTTAGGTAGAAAAGAGGTTCGTCCCCTTCCTCTTTCACCGCTGGAGAACGAGTGCTCCTCGCAATCTTCGGTACCGGTTGATTATTATGTCGTTCCGGACAGGCCTGGAGCATTTCCACAACAGCACGTTGAATGGCTTCGTTGCGTTTTCTCGCGGACTCGATCCTTCCTCCTCTTCTTCTTTCCATTCTGCTTGCCGCTTTTTGAGTGTGCCTATTGTTTCCACGCAGCGTCCAACTCGAGAGGGAACTATTTCCATCTTCCTCTTAACGCGTTTTAGGCGTTCGTCTTCTTGTTTGTACTATAAAAAATTGGAAGAATAAACGAGATTAATAAGATTAGTAAGATTAATAAGAAATTAGCGAGAAAGAGAGAATTCTCTTGGTGATAAGAAATTATCGAGGAAGATGGAAATTCTCTGGGCGACAAGAAATTATTAAAAAAGAAGAAAATTCTCCTGGTGACAAGAAATTATAGAGAAATAGGAAAATTTTCTCGGCGATAAGAAATTATTAAAAAAGAAGAAAATTTTCTCGGCGACAAGAAATTATTGAAAAAGAAGAAAATTCTCCTGGCGACAAGAAATTATTGAAAAAGAGGGAAATTCTCTTGGCGGCAAGAAATTATTGGAAAAGAAGAAAATTTTCTCGGCGACAGGAAATTATGGAGAAATTCCACGAACCGATATGCACACGAAATATTAAAAATATGATTTTCGAAGAGTGCGGATGGATTCTGTCGCGTTTATATGGAGCGAGGTGAAGGTCAAGAGGAAGACGAAAAGAGGAAAAGCAGAATTGATGGGAACGTCTTATCCTGTAGAGGACTCACCCCACGCTATTGTCTCCACTTTCGTCTTAGCTGACTATGACAAATAATTGCCGAAGCTTAACATAAGCCAGAGGCGGTATACTTAGCTAATAACAAAAAGAGAGGGGGAAAATAGAGGGAAGTTTTACGTGTGCACGATCATACTTCTTCCCTTCTCTAACTAGACTGCACGACAGGCAATTCGAGCAGAGGCGCGAACTCTTTTCAATCCCTCGGAGTTCTCGCAAAGAAAAGGAACGTCGTGTCCTCTGGAAAAGTGGAAATTTTCCCGCGAAGGACAGCTGTGCGCGAGGAAAGCGGCTTACGATGCTTATTTAATGCGATTTTTCTCACTTCACTTCCATGGCTTATTGTTCTTTTTCAATTCTCTCTGGTGAATTACTCGTGCTGCGAATAAAGGAAATTTTTCTATTTTTTCCCTCAATTTTTCATTTCGATCAAATTTCACTTCGCTCGTTTAACAGAACATTTCTAACGAACGAAGGAATTTTTCTCTGTGTTCTTTTTCTGTTTCGATGAAATTTCACGGCGCCAAGTGTCCTCGATTGGCGAAGGAAGAAACGATCGGAGAACAAGTTTTCAACGTTCGAAACGACAAAACGAGTTATTTCACCGCGATGCTAAACGCCGTTTCGACGTGGCATGCGTGACACCCTTCGTACCCGTCATTTTCGTCGTCACCAGTCGTCCTTAATGTGAATTTAAGAAGCGCCACAAACGACCTCGTCGATCCACAGGGATTTCCATGACTCGTTTTAAATTATTCTTCGTCTTGGTACACGTCCTTCCCTCGTTACCCGATCCTTCCTTTCCCGCACACTTCATTTTTCAATCTTTCGCGTTAACCTTCGAAATTTTATCCATTTCATCCTCTACGCGACTATTTCTCCCGAGAATTTCAGTTTAGAGATCGCTATCTTCCACTCTGTAACAAACTCATTTTTCATCTCGAATCTTGAACAATAGTTTCTTCATATTTACTCCGTCACACTTCGCCCCTTCACGTTCTCAATTTTCATCTTCAACCCGTTTAATAAAAGTAGAATAAAATAAAATTCGACAAAATCTTTTCTCTCCTTTATTATCGAGATTGGTGGGAAGAAAATATTACGCTTCTTCTTACCATCGGTACACGCGCAAGAACAAAGCAGCAGTTCGATCTTCCGCGGAAAAACCACCTCGCGGGTAACGGCGTCGGGTTAAACTTCGCGACACGGATGAAATCGCCGGCGAACACATTCGAGAGAGAGAGAAAAAAGAAACTCGAACGATATCTAATCGAAGCTAAGCAGGCAACAAACTTCGGTGTGTGTTTTTTTTTCTTTCTTTCTCTCTCGAAACCTAGCAGCATGGCGCCTGATTCTTTGGTACAAAGAGAATCCAGCGAAAAATCAATCTGCAACGATCGCGGTTTTTCTCGTTGTTCGAGAATCGCGTGCAAAACCGTTCTGTTCGATCGAGCTCTTTTTTCTCTCCCCTCTTCCTCTAGGCGAGTATCGCGAGAAAGGATTCCGCGGTCGAAGACAAAAGAATAGGGGAAAGAATGGAGTCCCGGTCATTTCCTGCTAGCCGGAAAAACATTTCGGAAAAGTCAGTCGACCGCGAAGCGCATTTCATTCGATCACGTGGCCAACTGATCCAAGCGTACATGTATATATATATATATATATATATCAGAAATCCCACACACACGCGCGCGCGCACATGCAGGACACAGAGACGAGTGTGTGTCGCTCGTGAAAGGATCGAGATCCTTGGCGAGAAACGATGGATATGCTTGGTTACCGGAGAAAAGTCTCTTTTCGACGGAGTATTTCGCGCGAAATTCTCCAATGAATCTCTGTCCATCGAGTTAAGTGATTGGACGATAGGAATTGATTGTGTAATTTTTTTTGTGCGACCAATTTTTTGTCTATCCGCAATTTTTCCGAAAATTCGTTCTTGCAAGTCGACGAATCATTGTAGAAATGACCTTTTTTTTTGTACAGCGAATCGTACCTCTACCCGCAACTTTCCCGAAATTTCGCGTTCAAGAATTTTGCCAAGAATCCTTCGGAAAGCGTGTCTTTCCAACGAACACTTCAGTCTCAGAGGCGGAACATTAACGACACAAACACATCACCCAATTAAAAAACAATTGAAAAGAAAACCACGAACCTCGCAATTATCCTCACGATTCGCATACTTTTGAATTGTTCCAGGAACGGAATTGGTGCCGAGCTGATCTGCGTCTCCAAGGATCAGAGGATAGGCAATTGCTACGTGGCGGGGACGTTCAATGACGATAGTCGATTTAACATAAAATATTTTTGTACACGAGTTATCATATACTTATACATTATATTATAATCTGTATAATAACGTATACAGAGAGAGGTGCGCGAACGAGAGGTTATACCATACCGCGCTGCTTAGCATACGTGATCCGGGGTTACGGGGGTGGGGGGTGGGGAGGGGGAAACAATCGTGCAAAAGTGCAGAGAGAAAATGTGTGTGTGCATGTGTGCATGTATGCGTGTGTGTATTGTTTCTTATCGTTATTACCATTATTTTACACACAGGCGGGGCAGAATGGGGGGGGATGAAAAGTAAGCTGTTGAAATCCAAAGACAATTCGATATCTCTTTTCTAATAATTGAATGTGTCACGGAAGAAGAGAGAGAGAGAGTAACAAGTGTGTGTAATTAATAATAATGTGAGTGAGTGAGAGAGAGAGAGAGTTCGCGAAGAGATGGTGTTATGAAAATGACTAAACCGAAGGAAGCAAAGTATAGATATTTTCTAAATCAAAATTGATGCCTTACGCGTGTATAAAAAGGAAGGAAAGACATCTTCGTCTAGTGTGAAATTATTCTTGACATTCGAGGAAACACACTCAAGATCGTCGTTTGAAAATTCGATGGAAAAAAAAAAGAAGGAAAAAGAAGAAATTCTTAGATAGATGAAGTGTCTCAGGGTTCGAACAAAGAGGTATTTTCTTTTTTTTCTTTTTTTTGGTCATTCTCATCGAACAACCATCCCTTCTCAATCAGCCGGTTCTCGGACAACCGACGGAAGCATTGTTTTTCGACAAAAAAAAAAAAAAAAAAGGTGCTGATAGGAGTAAAACTATTGTAACACTTTTTTCCCGCGGATAGAAAAGAGGAGAGACTTTTATTCGAGTTTTTCGCGGTCCAGAGGTGTGCATGTGTGCGCGGTGTTAGACCGGGGAAAAAAAAACGCTCTAATCCACGCACACTTTTACATTTCTACACCGCAGAAACGACGAAGAACGTGGGCTAGGGGAGGAGATAGGAGAGGAGTATGGATGCACATGAGGATACTATGGTGTCGTTATGGTGTTTGTTGTGTATGAATCGACGGGTGGTGTTCGAACGTTGTTTGAGCGTCGATCGTTCGCTACGATATCAAACATCACAGCTTTTTGTGCACTTTAATTAACGCTGTTTAAAAAAACAAAATGGAAAAAAAAGAGAGAGGAGGAGAAGAAGAAGAAACGGACTGCCTTTAGCGAATTTTTCGTTGTCCGGGTTGTGTCGGGTTTATTATTATCATCTTGCGAAAAAAAAAAAAAATAAATAAAATCGTGTATCCGCTATCATTGCATAGGACAATGATTATAGGTGCGTTCGAAGGATCTAGGATTACATTAGGGATAATAATTTACTGTTCGTCGTAGACGCTGAACGAGGGAGAGAAAAAGAAAGAAATAAAAGGCACAGTAGTACTGATCATGTAGATCGATATTTATCATTCATTCAACCCCTATCGTAGATCGTTCCCATTTCATTCTCCGTCGTTCCCCCATTCAAACGACGAACCTTGTGCAACTTTGTCAGTTCACTTCCTTCCGATGGTGTAATAAAACATGATTTGTTAAAAAATTTCTCAAGTTGCTATTTCTTCGAGCGTCCAGGAGGATTTTGCCGCGTTTACAAAGCAGAGGTGTTTAACAAACAGCGACGGATGAAGGTGGTCGCGCTCCGTCAAGATTAGGGCACACTCGCATGCGGGTCCTTGGTAATACGAATTAGGGAAAAAGCTTGATCACCGTGGCATCTGTAAGGATTAGAAGGGAAATGAGTGAAAAAAACAAGGTGGCTTAGCGGCCAGGGGAAATCTGGCCCACCCTGTTAATCCCAACGCGACTTCTCCGCTCGCGAGAAATTCCTGGAAAATCCTTCGCGTTCTATTTATCTCCGCGAATGATCATCTTCGTTGAAGATTTCCGGCGTTCTACGTTTGTCTACGTAGAACCGTGGTATCGGTGGAGAATTGGTAGCTGTTAATTAATTAACGCGTCCAGCGACGAAGGAACCGCGAATTCGAAGGATCTCCAGGGAAAGTTTTAATTACGCCGGTGGTAAGTTTAATACAGTTAGGCCTATCGAGCCCGTCGGCAAGATTGTTTTACAAAGTAAATGAGCGAATGATGACTCGAGGCTTCGAGACCACCTAGAAAGTCCTTCCAGGCCAGCCCTTTAAACTCCTCGACGACTAATTAACGCGCGAGCACATACGACGCCTCCTCGTTCCGGGTCGGGAAATTCGAATAGAGTCTGTCAAGAGTTGTCAAACACTCTTCTACGTCCATTAATACACTCTGTCAACTCTCTTCTTTCCCTTCATTTTCCCGATAACTCAAATTGCAGACGATTTTTTCTAACAGAGTCTTAGGTAGCCCTGATAGTTGCACAGACGGTTGATCGTTCGATCTCGAGAAATTCTCGATCCCCGACACTCTCTATTGTGGACGACGAAAGGGAGGATACAGACGTGGAGCAAAAAGTTCCTCAGGAAAGAAAACAGAAACTCCTGGCGACGAAAGGAGTCCGCGGTGGGGAAAAAAACAGGGCTGGAGGAAGTGGAAAGAAAGCGGAGAAAGGGGTGGCTACCAAAGAAGTGTTGACCGTTCCCTAGACCTTGGCGAAGAGCTGCTCTTCTACCGGACAAGGTCACACCGGATCATCGGTAGTATCACGAGAAGCTCCGATGAAACTGTTCGAATCCGTCACGGGCGATTCCTAGAGGATCTTTCACGGAGATTCGGTGGTGTCTTTGGCTGATCCTCCGATAGGATTCCCCGGTGGAGGGACAAAACTATCTCCGCGTGGCAGACAATAGGGAGAGAAACTGGCGAGTCAAACGCAAAGCTGAGATGACAAATGAAAGGAGAGAGGAATTTTCCTCGAATATCATTTCTGTATCGGCGATAGTGGAGAGAAAGTTCGAATGGAGGAATATTTGTCGGTTTGGAATTATTTTTTTCGACGTTCGATTCGAGGTTCGTTAAAAAACGTTATCGAGGAATTTCTGTTTCTGTTCCGAGAAAAGTTTTCATAGTCGTGGTTCGGCGGGGCAATTTGTTCGAAATTCCACAAGTAACGCAGCAATGATTGAAGCGGTGGCAAGAAAAGAAAACGCTGGAGCGGCAAAAGGCGTACAATAATCGAGTTTGCCCCCGGTAGAGGCTGGATGAACATTCCTAAGTAGTTGGCCGTAAACGGTGCTGACTTCGACCTGGCAGGAACATGTTAATTAGCGGTAATTAAAGCGTGCTTCGAGACCACTATCCGGCGTGGATCGGCCGCTTTTGCGTCTCCACGAGCAAAGACGTGGTTTACCTGTTACCTGGAATCCCCTTCGACTCGGAGACACGCTCTCTCGTAGGCAACGCTGGCATCATTAATTTCCAGGATAATTAACCACCGATTAATCCAATTTTCCATTATTCCCGTTTGTCTCTCTGTCGTGACGAAAATCGAAAAAATATCCACGCACGATAAACAAAGGAAAAGGTACAATTTTTAAACGATAAAACTGACTTACGGACCACCCTGTACGAAGATCGATAGCGTGTATATTTCATTCTCTAATGCATTCGATCAATCTATCCCGCTAAACTGAGAAGCTACAATCGAGCACAATTTCTGTTACAACCGTCACAGACATTACTCGTCGGATACACCTAATAGAACAAATACTCTCGGTGTACGAAAAAAAGAGGACACGTTTCTCGTCTTGAAAAAAAAAAGAGAGAAAAAAGAGAAGAAATACAAGAGTTGGTCGTTAAGCGAACGGTAACAATTCCAAGCGACGATCGAACAATAAGAAATCATACAAGCCCCCTTGGTCCCGTCCTGTACACAACATCGTCCCCATATTTCTTCCATTCCACGAATCCCGTGGACGTTGATAACCGATCGATTAATTCGAGCGGAGTCCATCGCCTCCACGGTCTTTCTCGCATCCTCGCGGAACCACTTCGGGATCCTCTGATCGCCCCCTTCTTTTTTCCCTAGCCCCGTGTGTTCGGGGCCTCCTCCTTAAGTCAGATCGCAGCAAGATGGCCGCGGGCCCCGGTAAATAAGCGACTGTCATCTGACGCCCGCAAAAACCGGATACACCGCGGCAGACTGGTCTCTCTACTACGTTCTTCCTTCTTCTCCTTCTCTCTCTCTCTCTCTCTTACTCTCCTCTTTACTTTTATTCCCTTTCGTTTCGTTCATTCCCTCCCCCTTTATCCCTTCTACCACACTCCTCCTACCTTCTCTCTACTCTCCTCTCTTCCTCTATCTCTCTGGTTCCCTTTACGCTCGCTCTCTCCTCCGCCCCTCTCTATACCTCAGCATCTACGGTCGCATCCTTCCGTCGCGATGCACGGCGAGGATTAATTACAAAAAATCCGCGGCGACGCGAATTGGAAACGTCGTTCCACGAAGCGAAAGCGCCCCGTAGTAGTGCGAGGAGGTAGAGCGAGCGAGCTCGATATCGGCAGCCGAACTTTTTCGCCACCCCGTGCCAGAGAGATGGCCCAATAAGCGATCGACGCGGGGAGAGACAGGTAGGGTTGGCCGACAGCTGTTCGTACCAAGTCTCTCCCTGCCTCCCACCCTACCGCCTTTCCGGCGAAATTCAAATCGCCGGAGAGATTCTAACGTGTCTTTCGATTGTACTGGGTGGTTGACGAGTTTTCGAAGGGGTGATTTTTAGGTGGAAATTTACGTGCCGGAGATATTAAGGTTTATTGAGCTTTCATGCGAAAAGCGTGAGTGTGTTCGCGTATGAAACGAAATTTACGGGAATTTTCTCTCGTGCGGGTGTGTCAGATGTTAATTTGATAAAGGACGAAATTTAATCGATTGATCTTCTGTTTCGATGGGAAAAGCGTGAGTACGTTCACGCATGAAACGAAATTTCAGGTATTTCTCGTATAGAGAGTGA